CCCGCCAAAATCTAAAGTGATTTGTTTTTCGGACCATAAGAAATAATGTTTATTTATAGTTTTTACGTATTGAGATTTATGACAGCAAATTAGAAATTTAAAAAAAAAATGCCTTTAAATCAAAAAACTTCTAAAGTTTGATTCTAAAAATTCAAATGAGGCACAATGTAAACATTGTCCAAAGGTATTGCTATGCAAAGGTGGTTCGACAGTTGGATTGAAAAGACATTTAGAAAAAATCCACAACATTATTTTAAATAAAGAAGACGAAACATCAAATAAAAAATGTTGTGTTCAACTAACAATTAGGTACGTGAGTAAAAAATTCAAATTGTTGTAATATTCTACTGCTATATATCATTATAAAGAGGACCAATACAGTTTTTTAAAGGTGAAAAAATTATCAAAAACGAACAATCGGTTCAAAAGTTATGACAGTTTAAGTACCGATTTTTCGATATATGGAATTGTTGAAGAAACTGTGGTCAAAATTATGTATTTCTTCACTTAAATTGTCATAACTTTATTCATTCTTATCGAAATACAAATACCTTGGTGTCAAAAGATAGGTGTAAGAGTGGGCTACAAATTTTTGTTAAACTCTAACCACCGGGTGTATCGGATGGACAGAGGGGGCACCAAACCATCACCTTACCCGTATGAAAACTAAACATTTTTTCTTGAAAAAAGACTTTTTTTTCACACAAAAGTCTTTTTTAAAGACATAAGTATTTTAAATACACAAAAAAATAGTTATAAAATTATATTTAACCACCAGAGTATATGAGAAGCGTATGTTAACGTTGGAGGTAGGTGTGGTGGTGATGGTTTGATACACCCTAGTATCAAAAAAGACTTGTTTTCATAAATATTTTTATCTTTACTAAAATGAATTCAATTAGTATACAATATAAAATTATGTTCTACAAGAATTTACGTGGTGGTACTATTACAAATTTAAGTCGTGTTTACATCGATGTATGGGAGGGGCGAATAACTCTCCCTCCCCCCCCCCCCCCCCCAACCTAAAAAAAAAAAAATAAAAAAAAATTAAAATGACACAACTACTGTTTCCTAAAGTCCCAAAACAAAGTTTTTTTCTGTAAAAAGGTTCTATAAATTAAAAGTTTTTTTCTGTTTAAAGGTTCTATAAATTAATACTGGACAACCACCAAACATTGAAGGTAAGTGTAAAACTCATGTTAAATGGTTGACCATGTTTTAACACACCCTAATATTGCAAAAAAATTTTAATTATGAAATATTTGATTGGTTATATAAAAACAACAACAAAGAAGTAAAAAATATATCTAACCCAGTAAAAGTCACATTTTTTTTAAAAAAAAGCATTTTTGATTAATTGGAGAATTTTTGGTTAAATATTCTCATTCAGAGTGACTTCTATTGTCAGTCAATAGTGGTAAAAAGGTAATCAAAACAAGGTATTTACCAACCTTAGTTAGGCTGTTTCAAACTAAAAAATAAATAAAATGTTACTAACACTAAATAATGTTTGATTATTTTAATGATGCTTTATTTCATAAAGTTTTTTCTTAGCTTTTAGTGAATGATTACAATGATAAATTTTACTTATGAAATTATTTTTAAATCATTTTTAACAAAAGACACTGAAGGTAAGCCAGAGCCGTCTATCAAAAATACATAGCAAGTTACAACACTTGCAGTACTTTTGTTTAGCAAGTCACAACACTTAAAGTACTTTTGTTTAGCAAATCACAACACTTGCAGTACTCTTTTTTAGCAAGTCACAACACCTGTGCTACTTTTTTTTAGCAAATCACAACACTAGCAGTACTTTTTTTTTTAAACAAGTCACAGTACTTGCAGTTTTTTAATCTATAAATTTCAAATTTATATATTTGCAGTGTTTTAACAAAATAATATCTAGTCAACTTTCTGGAAACAATATCTGCAACAAGCTGAAACTTTTTCATGCAATGTTCTAAAGCTTTGATATCCATTTTATTAACCAACCTTTAATAATTTTTAAATCTTTCAAATAACACTTTGACTGTTTCAAACTAAAAAACAAATAAAATGTATATCTCATATAGTTTTGTCTTGGCTTTTAGTGAATGATTACAATAATAAATTTCTTTTAGCTAGTCACAACACTGGTAGTATTTTTCAGCAATTCATTTGTAGTACTTTTTTAGCTTTAATTTCAAACTTGTACTTTCACAGTGTTTTATTAATATAATATAAAATTAATAAAATTGTAACTCTTCTGAAATAACATCTGCAACAAGCTGGATCTTTTTCATGCAATGGTCACCAGCTTCCATATACGTTTCATCATCTTTCCAGTAAGAAATAGTGTAAACTAAGTCATTTTTTTAACTAAATACTTTTTCTACTCTGGATCATATCATTCATGATATAGTTTTTTGCCTAAAATTGTTTAACACATGACATCTTCTAAATTATAAAGTTATTACACATGACATCTTCTAAATTAAAAATAATTTCATCATAACTCAATTTGGATAGCTAACGCTTGAACTTTTTTTGCTTTAACTTTTTTCTTTTTCATCGATTTTTTGGCACTTGGATGCCTGTCTTTGGGAAATATTGGCTCTAATTTTAGCCTGATGCAATCGATTGCTAACTCTATTTATACGCGTTACATGAACTTGCATATAATTACTTTATCTCTCAAATTAATAATATAGAAACCTTACCAGCTGCAACAGATGACAAGGATATTAAAGATTAAATAATACAATGACACAAAAGATTAAATGGTACTTATTCAACTTTTATGTATAATATATATATATATATATATATATATATATATATATATATATATATATATATATATATATATATATATATATATATATATATATATATATATATATATATATATATATATATATATGTATATATATATGTATATATATATATATATATGTATATATATATATATATATATATATATATATATATATATATATATATTATACATAAAAGTTGAATAAGGTTGCTAACATATATTAGTTATATATGACCATATTATATCTGTATCAACTGTAATAAATAATATAAATACTATTTATTACAGTTGACAGATTAACAGTTAATCATTAAAAAAAAAAAGTCTAGTTTTTACCTAGACTTTTTTAGAAAAAGATGCATAATACAACAAGTAGTAGCATATTGCAATTGTTATTGGAGAGACTTACAATGTAAGATAAAATATGTTATAATATTACAAATGTCAGTTACATTTTTAAAAAATTTAACTTTAAAGTAGGAAGCATAACAACTTTACATTGAAGGCAAATAATTTAATAAATAGGAAACAATATTAAAAATTTTTATCAATATCTCTACTTTCCATTTTATTTAATCTAAAAAAAAAACTGAAAATTTTTTTAAATTAAAATCAAATATAAACAATGTTTATTTAACCCCTCTGTCTCCCGCGACCACTTCAGCAAAGTGAAAATTAGGTACCAAAAGTGCGACAAAAAATAGACACCCTGCTACAACTTTTTTTTCAATGAAATTTTCCAGGTGCATAGATAAATGAAAAACTTAAAAAAAAGAATAGTATAGAAAAATAAAAGAGCATATCTTCGACATTAATTTCATGCCCAAAGTACAACAAAGTTTTAGACATCAAAAAACTCAATAAAAAAGCCATCTAGTAAAATAATAAACCTCACAGTAATAAAGTTTAACTATTCTAGTTTCTAAAAATAATCTATATTGATATCAAATTCTAAAAAGTTTTTTAACTAAACACGTCTTCCCTACGCTAGCTAAAAAAAAATCTAAAAAGCGTGGCACAGTTTTTTAGCACAATATTCGGTTCCGTAAAACGGATATTTCCACGTACCTATATTTGTCTTGATGTAACAAGTAGTAATACTACAAGTCTTCAAGACTTGTAACAAGTTGTTACAAGTAGTAATACATCAATAAATATGTTCTCAAAACCAAATTAAAATGCTACTAGTATTTTAAATTGGTTTTGAGAACATATTTATTGATGTTGTTAAAAGGGATTGATTTTAATTTATTTTAAATTTAATTCCAGTCCATTCATGTATTTAAAGGAATGTTTAAAAATATGTTTAAAGGAATATTTACTGTAGAATTTTATATTTATATTATATTAACTATTTCTTGGTTTTAGATAACTTAGCAATTAGTCTTTTTAACGAGTTAAACATTTTAACTAAATTTTTTATTAAAAAAAAGTAAATTAATTCAATTAAAGGTGACTCAACTAGAAGAGGCCCACAATCATCCAACAAGTGAAGAATTATTTTGTTGCTATCCTAGGAATAGAAAGATGACAACGCAGGAGGAAAAACTTATAATAAAATTAATAAATGCTAATGTCACCCCATTACAGATAAAACAAATATTGCATTTAGATGGTCACATGAAATGTGTGACTAGTCAGGATTTACACAACTTAAAAGCTAGGAATAAAAAAGTTGAGCGTAGTAATAATAATGAAGGACAGTTGCTGGTAGATGCTGTTAACAAACTTTTAGAAAAAGACGATGGTGGTTCAGTTTCTATTCTTCTAAAGGATGATGAGTTACAAGCTTTATGTTGGCAAACTAGTGTGATGAAAGAGAAATATAAAAGATATGGTGAAGTAGTTTTTGTGGATACTACTTACAAAGTTAATATTGAACGATTTCCACTATTAGTTTTTTTAGTAGAAGATGTTTTAGGATTTGGAGTGCCAGTTTTATTTGCTTTTGTTCAGCATGAGACTATAGACAACTTCAAATGGTTTGTGGAATGGTTTTGTACACAAAATAATAACATCATAACTAAAGTTATTATTTTTGGACAAAGATATTGGGTTAATAAATGTTTTGAGTCCTACATTCTTGCATTCATCAGTGTTGCTGTGTCGTTTTCATGTAATAAAGTACATCAAAAAAGTTGTCATACAGTTGTTTGTACCTCCATCAACTAAATGTGAGCTGATGAATTTGATATTAAAAATGGTATATGCAAACTCAGAAGCTGATTACCATGAAGCATATGACAGTATAGTGAATAATCATGAGTTTCCTGAATCCTTTAAAACATATTTTTTAAACAATTGGCATTCATGTAAGGAACAATGGTGTACAGCTTACCGAAAAAATAAGTTAACACTAGGTAACAACACTAACAATAGAATTGAAAACTTTAATCGACAGTTAAAAAAAATTATCAAACCTAATAAGCATTTGTCTGAAGCCATTAAAAGACTTAATGATACCACATTGAACATTTCCAGTGACAAGGGCTATAAACAATACAGAGAGATAGGTGTTCGAACAGTTGCCACATCTGGAATGCCTAAAGAAATTGGACAGTCACTAACAAACTTTGCAACAGATTTAGTCTCCTCGCAGTTTCTAAAGTATTCAACCTAGGAAAATGTTGAAATGGTTTTGCACAATAAAATTGATATACTTTTGACCAAAGACAGTTGCCAGTATATCATTAGCAATGACTTCACTGATTGCACCTGTTCATTTTTTATGAATTTTCAGTTACCTTGCTGGCATATTTTTTGTGCAAGAGATTTTAGAAACATGTCACTGTTTGACAATAAACTAGAAATGACTTTGCCATCAAGGTGGAAAAAAACTGAAGTTTTAAAAGATTTTGCGAGATCAGATCATTTTTCAACATTAGACATATCACATGTTGACCACAAATCACAAAAAAAAAAACAATTAAAAAATTGTAAGTATGAAGAAGAACGATATAGAACTGCTCACACAGAAACTGAGGCTTTAGCTTGTTACCTTGCAACTTGTGGTGGAGCAGACTTTGAACAAAAGTTATCACAAGTAAAACACTTGCTTAATCTGTGGCAATCAGGCAACATAATTAAAATTACATCAATTCCTTCAACTAATAGTATTCTGTCAGATTTAAAGTTATTGTCTTCTAATGATGAATATGACCAGAAAAAAGTAATTGAAAACACAAAAGAAATACTGAATGTCAATATAGACACAACATCAGGTTTGCAATTGATAAACAGTGGTCTGCAAGACAATGCAAGTGCATCAGAATCTATTAAACAATCAGATAAAAATAACTATGTAATACCTGAAATAAGATCTTCTTTAAGAGTGCCAGCTGTCATAAGATCGAAAGGACGGCCAAGAGGTAGAAAGCCATGTAACTCTTTTACATTGCGACCTTCAATATCAAAACAAATAGCTAAATCAAGAAAGCAAGCAAAAGCAAAAACAATCAATGTGACAAACATTTCTGATGTTCTCTATGAGAGGATTTTGTGTAGTAAGATGTTGTCTGACATTGATATAAATGCAGCACAAGTCATTTAAAAAAATCAGTTTTCATCAATACAGGGATTATAGGACACTTTATTGGGACAAACTTTAACATATGATATAATGCCACATGAAATGATTCAAATCTTGCATGACGGTAACCTACATTGGTTGCTAGTTAGCACTTTGAACTGTTCCCCTGGACATATAAAAATATATGACTCAATTAAATCAGAAACACCTACTATGGAAATTAAAATGCAAATTTCATCACTTCTATGCTGTCTACTAAATAAGATATGTTGTGAATATCAACCTTGTCAACAACAAGTTGGATCAATTGATTGTGGCTTATTTGCCATTGCATTTGCTTTAGATCTATGCATGTGTTTTGATGTTAGTACCATATCATATGATCAGAATGCCATGAGAAAACATTTGCATGATTGTCTGCAAAGCAACTACTTTACCCCCTTTCTGCGCTGTGAAAAAAGTGCAGTTGTGCATATGTCTAGGAAAAGTGTATCTGTTTTTTCTATATATTGTGCTTGTCGCTTACCTGATAATGGTGCAGAAAAAATGGTACAGTGTAATGAATGTATGGAGTGGTATCAGATGTCTTGTGAGTCAGTGCCAAATGCTGTTTTGGCATCAAAGAAAGTTTGGAAATGTTCAAGATGCATTGTTTGAGTTTATATTTTATATATCTTCTGTGATAATATCATGAATTAAGATTTAATGTAAGATTTAAAATTTAAACCTGATTTTTTAATCTTAATCCTGATGTATTATATTTTTTACATTATATTTTTGTTATATTTACAATCTGTTGCAAACTTTGTTAAAATGGTAGTGTATTGACTTTTTGTCATACATTAGCATACATTTGCTTTTTTTGTTTTCTTTTACATTTTGTGACTATGTATTGAAATGTTTTTGAGTTTTGAATATGGTGTGACCATATGAAATGACCAAGTCATTTATTTATGATATTTTATTGTAATATATTTTTTCAAAACTTTTTAAATAAAAAACACAGTGTGTATTTTACTTTATACTCTATTCTGGTTCTTTTTAGATCCACATTAACTTATTTTTGTAGAAAAAATAAATCACTTATTATGCAGGGTGTTAGCTAGCCCAATGACCAGCATTGGAAAAAATGCCAAAAAGTACACCTCAGAATTCCCATTTGGTTTAAATTTACCAAAATTCAATGACCTTTTTTTTTTTTTTTTTTTTAAACAATATAATGATTCATTTTTTTAAACAATATAATGATTCATAAATTCCTAATATTTAGCAAAATCATGGTTTGAATATATTCCTGGCTAACACCTTGATATGGGACCTAGCGTTAACTTAAGGGTCGTGAATTACCATTTTTTTAAAGCAAAATTCACGTAATGACTTTTTAGTTACTTTTAAATAGTAGTTCACCTTTTCTTACTATATTCGTTTATTTAAACTTATTTACTGAGCTAGTTAAAGTCTTTATATTTAGATATTATATACAATTTAAAAATGAGCACTATCCAAATAGTTTTAGTGCAGTGACACTATTGGTATATTTTTTTGTGGATCAGGTTTATCTTCAATCTTTAGTAAGTTGTTACTCAATACTAGCAATGTTTTAAATGCAGTAATTTTTTTTCATTTTTATTTTGATTTGATGTACTTTTTAAAGTATATTTTCATTTGGTTGTTGCATAAGCAGTTGCAGTTGCAACTTACAGTGATGTCATCTATTTCTTCTATATACTCCCCTTGTAAATATTTATTTTTATGTTAGTTTGTTCTCAGGAGTGGAACTGTATATATGTAGATATGTAGTTTTGTCTACTGTCTACTAAAAGCCACAAAAAAGAATTCAGAACATTTGAATTAAAGCAAATAAATTTTCCTATACAAAATATTTTGACATTCTGAAGATATGACCATTAAAAGTATTACTACAATAAATGAAGTTTTAGTTTAATCGCTAGTTTTTAGTTTCAATCAAGTAATTAACAAAAACAAGATGTTTCTCTTTAGGTCTGCACCAAAGAAAAAGTTCCTTAATTTTATAGCTAACTTTAGAATGCTTAAATTTAAAAGTCAAGGGTATTTTTAAAAATAAAAACTTTTATTCTTTTGTTTTTGTATAGAAAAAATGAAAAGTCTTGTAATGCTATCATTTTGCCTAAATTGTTTTTTTTTACCATCGTGTAATAGTTTGAATTGATTTTTCACATTTTTTATTTTATGGATACGGAACCTTTGAGTTTTTTACCAACTTTTCATAACTGTGTATGCTTTGTAATTATTATATTATGTAATTTCAATACTGTATTTGCACAGGTCACTATTAAGTTTTATTTTAAGTTGAAATTTTATTTATGTATTCAACATGAAAAGTTAAATAAAATAGGACTGTTGTTTGTAGACATGTAAGTTTTTCTATATTTCATTATATTTTATATTTCTTTGTATCTAATTATGGACTAGATGTATATTTTATTTTAGAAAAAATAATAAGGAATAGACAAAGAAAAAAAAAATTCTGCTGGAAGTTGTCAAAAGAATGTTGTGTTATGCCTCTTTTAAAGGTATCTGAATATATATTTACTAGAAATTTTTAAATTTTAATTTATTAGGAGAAATGAACCTGTCAGCATTGTTGTGCTCAAAAATCTCTTGATAAATCATATTTTTTATGTTGCATAATTGGAAGTGTAGTTTGCTTCCATTTTCACTGTTTCTGAATTATTTACAGGAAGTTATATATTTTAATTCCAATATCAATTTTTTTTAATATATCAGAATTGCCTTTTTTTTATTTTGCTTCATTTACTGATAATTTGGTTTAACCTATGAATCATAGGTCGACATGTTTTAAAATATGCTGTCAATTTTTTTATTGTGTGGGTAATCTTAGGCCAGATCAAAATTTTCCCCCAACATTATCAACTATATATCTCTGACCCAATTGCAGCAATAAATTTTGGCAATAACATAATTTGCTTACATAGTTTGCTTACATAGTTCAACTTGGCTTACATAGTTTAAAGTTTTATTTGCAAATTATTTATTACTTTAAGAAATGTTGCTCCACCTGCATCCAGGAAAGTCATTTACCCAAAGAGTTATTTAGAAGTTACATCAAGTATGTCAGCTAACTTAAATCCAACTTTTTTTTCCAAGAATTAGCATTATTGATATGCAACCCTGAACATGCAACATTGGTTAGAAATTATGTTAAATTATCTCAGTTTTACAATTATGTACCTTATTAAGACAAAACTTCTGTTCAACTATTTTAGCAATATGCTGCTGATGTATAAGTTAAAATTGAAGAGGAGTGTCTTTCTTTTCTAGATATAACCAAAACAAACTGAGAAGTATGGAATATGATGCCTTTTTTTCTACGATATTCTATACAATACCACCACTGATAATATATTATACAATACCACCACTGATAAGTTTAAGATTATTATAATAACTTTTTTGTTATCAATTTTTACGACTGTTATTGATTAGACTTTTTTCAGATTTGTTATATATTTTAATTCTAATATTAGTTACTAGATTTTTTTTGAATCAATTTTTATTACATTTTTTTATATAACTGATTTTACTTGTTCTAAAATTAAATGTTATTTTTTTTTTAGTTGTCATCGCTTTATTAGTTTGCTTTATTGTTGAAACATGGTTTTAATTTAGTAAATTTATATGATATGAAATTTACTGGGTTAATCATTATTAAACAGTTTTGAAGAAATTGGAATTCTAAATTGTTGAGGTATAAATAATTTTGTTTAGTGGTAACATTAAAAAGCCTTTTTTTTATAGTTAATTGTGCTATAGCTATTCTGTGCTAATATATATATATATATATATATATATATATATATATATATATATATATATATATATATATATATATATATATATATATATATATATATATATATATATAATATATATATATATATATATATATATACATATATATATATATATATATATATATATATATATATATATATATATATATATATATATATATATATATATACATATATATATATATATATATATACACACACACATATATATATATATACACACATATATATATA